TGTATTCCAGGGCCATAGTATTGAGATTCTCACCAGACCTCATCTGACCCGTAATTCTGGTCATCATTGAGTTTTTGGATTATGTTCCACGTTTTCCCTCAAACTCTATCCTGGATCTCCAGATTTGATCCTTTCCTGAGTGGTTGGCATTGGTAGCTGGGCACCATCTAGTTCTTCTGGTCTCGAGGGCCATCATGTCCTAGGGCTGATTGCTTCTAAATGCTCTTTTTTTTTTTTTTTTTTTGCATTCTTCTTCATTTCCTATGCTAGGAGACTGTTAGCTGCATCTTAGATGGCGGCTTGAAAGCTTTTAAGACCCCAGTCGCTACTCACCAATGTAGGATGTGGAGCAATGCTTTTATGTATTTTGTTGTGCCAATTGAGTCTGGTGTCCCCCAGTACTATGGTCCTGAGGTAGTAGCTCTATTAGGTGTCTCTCCCATAGTGTCGGGATGTCTGTTCTTGGTACTTTAAATGCAAGGGAACTCTCAACCCTGCTTGCCACATTTGCTTCCTCAATTAGCCTCTGTTTTGATTATATCCCTAGCTCTTTTTTGACTCCTTTCCACTAACATTTTTAAACAAGTGATAAAAATAGAGCACAAACCAAACTCACTGCCATTGAGTCAATTCCAACTCATAGTGACCACCATTGGGTTTCCACGGCTGTAAATCTTTATGAAAGCAGACTTCCTCATCTTTCTTCGGCAGAATGCCTGGTGGGTTTGAACCATCGACCTTTTGGTTAGCAGCCAAATGCCTTAACCACTACACCACCAGAGTATTTAGAGTATATGTGCTAAAAATGTATGAAAACATGTGTACAACTTAAAGAAAAGTGACGAAATGAACAACTGTGTACCCACTATCCAGCCTCAAAAGCCATCTTTATGTCACAAGATGGGGTTGGAAAAGTAGCAAGGGACCAGATTATGCAGGGCCGTAAAGTCATGCAAAGGCCTTTGGAAACGGAGAGAGCTGCTGAAAGGCCGTACTGTGGTTCTGGCAGGATGTCATGGCAGCCTGGTCTGCACTGGTAGCAAGGAAGATAGAGAAAGTGGATTGATGTCAGAAATCTGAGAGTTATCCTTGTTTCCACTCCACTTCCTTGTTCACTCACTACCATCTCTCCATGAAGCTATTGCAGTATTCTTCACTGGTCTCCCCACTTTCACTCTTGCCCAACAGCAATCTATTTCAGCAGCCAGAGTAATTTTCTAAAACTCTGATCTAATCACATTGTTTTCCTGTTTAACACCTTTCAATGCCTGCTCCCGCCAACCCCCACTTGCCCTAAAGATGAAGACCTAACACTTCATAGGGATTTGTGAGAACTTCCCTAGCCGCATCGCCTGCCCCTCCTCCTCTCCTCCTGAACTCCAGCCATACCTAATTCCATGGAGAGCTTTGAACGTTACTTGTCCCCACTAATTTATTTAGGATGATCTTTCCCTCTGTTTTTGCCAAGTTAACTGAGTCTGGTCCCTCAGGCATCAGTTTGGAAATTATTTCCCCAAGAAGCTTTCCCTGACCCTCCAAGACAGGTTAACAAGTTTCTTCCAAGTTCCCCTTGGTCTCCTGTATTTGCTTCTAGCATTGCATTTATCCCACTGTGTTGCAATTGCCTTTTTTTTTTTAATCTATCTGTGCACCTCACTAAGGAGCTCTGGTGGCACAGTACCTAATGCATTTGACTGCTAACAAGAAGGTTAGTGGTTCAAACACACCAGCCATCCACGGAAGGAAGATGGGGCAATCTACTTCCATCTTCAGAAACCCAGTGGAGGGCACTACGAGTTGGAATCAACTGGATCAATAACAGTGAATTTGGTTTTTGGTGCATCTCGCTAGCCTGTAAACAAACACTTTGAAGGCTGGCCCCCTGTCTTGTTCATCATTCAAATCACAGAATCGAAGACATTTTCTGCTACACACTAGGCACCCCAATCCACATTTCTTGAATACATTTTGCCTTTATTATTTTGGGAGTCCTTGTGTGGTGTTGGCTATTAACTAAAAGGTTGGTGGTTCAAGTTCACCCAGAAGGCCCTTAGAAGAAAAGCCTGGTGAGTTACTTCTGAAAAAGCCTATAGAGAATAGTTCAGACACATATAGAGTTACCATGAGTCAGAATCAACTCAATAGTAACTGGTTAACTTGCTGTTTTGAAGAGAATCTATTCTACTGTAGAGATACTAAGCATTCAAGAATTACGTACCTGAAATATCTGGCCTTTTAAGTGTTATATTCTAAATTGATGGTGATCTCATAGGACTTCAGTGTTTTATGTGGGTTTAACATAAAATTCTCAGATATCTAGTCCTAAAAAAAAAAAAAAAAAGCATCTACAAATCAGCTGTATCTTGTTAATTTTTGTTTCCCAAATTACAAATGCAAGTGGCAGTCCCTGGCATCCAAACTAATCCTTCCTTTTTATTCACATCTCATTCTCCTTTCCTATACCATGAATCTGAGCCACATCTAAGTCAGTTTTATACACAGCTCTGGAGTCACTGTTGGCACTCAAATATACTATATAAAATTGTTGTGGTATTGCAGGTAGTTGGATTTCTCCTGGAAAAGGGAGCAGATATCACCCTTTGCAATTACAGCAATCAAACGGCAGTCCATGTAGCTAATTGCAATATGCAAAGACAGCTTCTTTTGGCCATCAATAGAATCCAGGCTTCGCAAATGCAACTTCTACAAAGTTCATGGCAAGGTGATCTTGAACAACTTCAACACTTGCTGGTTAGTTAAATTGATGTTTGCTTCTACTTTTGGGTGGGTGATAAGAAGTTTACAAACTATGTATGATGCCTTTATAAAAATAAGTTCTTTATAAGCGCCATTTCAGAAAGCTCTAGGTAGAAAATATGAGAAAGAAACAGGATCAAATGACACAGGGGTGAAAAACAAGATAATAAAAGAACACAGCAGCAGCCTATTTCCACTTTCCTCCATCTGGATGCTAGAAGAAGTCCTGCAGCACCCCTGGGAAATGATGTGGTCCCAGGAAGTTCCCAGAGGACCGCTGTCAACTTGCTCAAAAGGGTTCCCTTGACATCATTGCCATTTGTACAATTGCTGTTTAGATCCCTTTGGGCCAGTTGCAGTTATTATCTTTATCCTGAAAAGGGAATCAGAGAGCCTATGCCTTGCTCAATATTTAGCTGTAACTAAAAGAGTCGAGGAAATATTTTGAAATTGCTGTCTACTTGGGTATTTGTCCTCTTGTTTAAATTTTCTACCTATAGGTACTTTTCCCCAAAGCAACTTACAAAATCATATGCATAAACAAGGGCATTAATTATGTGACCAGTAAATGCATACTCTTGCCTTTTACATGCAAAGATACTGTCAGATTACATGATTTTACAACTGAAAAAAAAAATCTATTGCTGCTAGGAAACACTTTCTTCCATTCCCTTCTGGTAAAGACACAAAAAGATAGAGAAAACTGAAAGCTATTCTAATCACCCTATAGTCCAAGAATAAGAAAAAAACAAAGCAAAACCAATTGCCACCAAGTCAATTCTACTCATTGCAATTCCATGTATTATGGAGTAAAACTGTGCTTCAAAGGCTGTAACTTTTCAGAAGTAGATCACCAGGTCGTTCTGAGGTGCCTCTGGGTGGATTCAAACCACCAATCTTTCAGATAGTACCCAAGTGCTTAACCATTTGCACCATTCAAGGACTCCATGGATAGAAACAATGAAATCTAAAGGAGTCTTTAAATTCTTTTGTTGTGCTAAATGATAGTCTAAAATTGCCATACATCATGCTTTGAGGCTTAGAATGAAAAAAATTACATTTTTAATGGTATTTCTGACAGTTGTGATTGCATTGTAACCCAATTTTTGCTTTCATAACCACAGTTTTTTACACCTAAGAATTAGCAACTGCATTTTAAAAAACTGGTGCCATAACTGGATCCAGAACTTAATCAATAGATGCTGAATTAATGTGCAAGACGATTCTCAGCTCAAAATTCCGTGCTTGTCTTAACTAATAATAAACATTGATATAAGAGGTGATTTCTTTTCAGAGACTGAAAAAAATATTAACTAATTAATTCCCACAGCACCCCTCTGAGGTAATATCATTACCTCTATTTTGTCCCTGGAGAAGTTGAGGTAGAGGCACTTTGACTATACTAAAGTAACAGAAAATGAAATAGAGATGGAAATTAGTGAGTTCATTTGGTTTATAAAATAAATAATTTGGATAATCTAGGCTTAAAGTGGCCTTTTCAGTGCTGGATTATCCAAATTAAATTTCACTTTCAATAAAGCAAACAACTTGCATGTAGCCACCTCAATTTGACTGTATAAATATAGTTAAATGAGCTGCTTTATTATTGTGAATAATTTATTCATTCATTCAACAAATAGTTACTGAGCACCTGCTATATATAAGACACTCTACTAAATGGTTTTCATAGTCTGCCTCTACAAACAGGAGTCCCTGGGTGGTGCAAACAGTTAAACACTCAACTACTAACCAGAAGGTTGGTGGTTCATACCCACTCAGAGGCACCTTGGAAGATAAGCCTAGTGATCTGCTTCTGAATGGTCACAGGCTTGAAAACCCTATGGAGCAGTTCTACTCTGTACACATGGGGTCACCATGATTCAGAATCAACTTAACAGTAACTAACAACAACAACAACAATCACTGAAACAAGAAAGACACTATTATTCCTACTTTGCAGTTGAGGGCTCAGAACGTCAGAGATTGAAGCTGTTGATATAGAAATTAAAAAAAAAAAAAAAAGTTAAATTTGAACTTTAGCTAAATAATTTTTTAGCATTAATATGTCCCAATGAAAATTACTCACCGTTTACCTGGGTATCCTTTATTTTGCCTGGCAACCGTATCAGGACATTAAACAACCAGGTAAAAGGAGGCAAGATTCAGGCTCTCAAGCCTGTTTTCTTTCACCTCATTGGCTTCCTCTTGGGACAGATCCTGAGAGAGAATATGTTGAAGTTAGAATGAGAAATTGGAAAAACAATGAAAATGTAAAGATTTCTGTAAAAGAAACAAACAATAAAAATGTAACAGAAATAAAGCCTCATGTTTTAAAGGCATCTGAGAAGCTTCTGGATATAAATTTCCCAAACCATCATGGCTTGACTGCTCTGATGCTGGCTGTGAGAGATGTGGACCTGTTTGAGAGTCTCAACACGCTAACTGTCTACAGACCTGTGGAAGTTCTGTCGGAGCTCCTCAAACATCGCGCGTGAGTATGAGTGGTCAGTCCACACCAGCTGAAGGGCATCTATGCCATTGTTAAATATGGAAATAATTTGAAAACCTAGACATATAGATAGTTTTTATTATACATGTAAGACGCATGTGCATGTTCATAAGGGAATTTCACAATTACAAAATGATACACAGGTGTTAGATATTAGTATATTACTATCTATTATTTGTGTGATATCCAGCTCTTTGTTTTATTTGTTTAAATAATTACTGTGTCAGTAGTGGAAATGTCAGTTATTTCTTATGAAGCTCCCCACCTCCATGATGTTACTATTTCAGAAAGCATTGTCATTGTATCAGAACGAATTTCTAGTGCCGATTTCCATTTATTTAAAAATTACTATATGCCACCATGCTCTTTTTGGAGAGGGAGGTAAACAATTAAATTTTAGCTTAAAAAAAAAAAATCAGAGAGTTTATGAACAGGCTGTCTTGTTAAAGGATGCTCTGGTGGCATGGTGCCTAAGGCATTTGACTGCTAACAGAAGGCTGGCAGTTCAAACCCACCAGCCACTCCTTGGAAGAAGGTTTGGGTGATCTACTTTTGTAGTGATACTGCTATGAGGGGTCACTATGAGTCGGATTCAACTGGATGGCAGTGAGTGAGTGAGTGAGTCTTGTTAGAATTGTGGTTTCCTAATGCTAGTACCAGGAGCTCTGGTAGCATAGGGCCTAAGGCACTTGACTGCTAACCAGAAGTCTGGCAGTTCAAACCCACCAGCCACTCGGAAGGAAGATGGGGCAATCTACTTCCATAGTGATACTGCCTCGGAAACCCAAGGAGGGGTTGCTATGAGTCGGGTCCGACTCGACAGCACTTAACAACAACAGTGCTAGTACCTGGATTTCTTGTCATCAAACAGGAGTACATGTTCTTTCTCAGTATTTCATACGAATTTTATTTTGGGGGAAGAAAGGAGGAGGGAACTTCAAGAACAAAAGTGTAGTGAAGAATATGAGCTCTTGTAAAAAACAAAAAGCAAACCAGTTGCCCTTGAGTCAATTCCAACTCAGGACTCCATGGGTTTTGAGAATAGAACTGTGCTCCGTCAGGTTTTCAATGGCTGAATTTTTGGAAGTTAATCTTCAGGACTTCCTTTTCAGCACCTCTGAGTGAATCTGAACTGCCAATCTTTTGGTTAGTAGCTGAGTGCTTAACCCCCCGTACTACCTACCCAAAGACTCCTTATCTGGTAAGAGGATCAGTTAATTTAATGGGATACAAAGAAATTTTGAAGGTAGTTTACACTTTAAAAAACCCTTGGAGAGATTAACAAAACTGGAGATTCCTAAGTACCACCCCAGAGATGGTGCCAAATAGATCTGGAGTGGGGTCCAGAATTCAGGAGATAAAAGGACGCCACTTGGAGAAATACTAATCTAGGCAGATGAACAAATTGAGGTACCAACGAGTTAAATGTCTTGCTTGAGGCCACAGAATAGGCCTCATTTCCTACTTCTATGCTGTTTCCTTTGAACTATGACATTTGATAGAGAAAAGGCCATGAGAAGATATTTTTGTGGGTCACAACAAATTACTGTTTGGTTTTAGATTGCAGATCATGAGCCTTGACCCTTTTCCCAGTGTATGACCAGTAAATACAGTTTTATTATTGTTTCCCTCATGATAACGTGTTAATAGGATTTTCATCACTTGCTTTAAGTTAGATCTCTCTGAGCTGGTATCTAATCCTGGGATTCAGCACAGTATAGAGGGGACAGCAAGATATTTCTGCTGTTGCAAACTAACATTAACCCACTGTCATCAAGTTGATTCTGATTTATAGTAACACTTTAGGACAGAGTAGAACTGCCTCATAGCATTTACGAGGCTGTAAGTCTTTAAGGACTTACAGACTGCCTCATCTTTCTCTTGCACAGCGGCTGGTGGGTTTGAACTGCCAACCTTTTTGTTAGCAGTCAAATGTTTTAACCACTACACCATTGGAACTCCTTGTGCTGTTGTTGCAAGGAACCCTAAAATTAGCAAGTTGGACTAAATAATGGCAGGGCAAGCCAAAGTAGGAATGGAAAGATTAGTTGACAGGAAAACTTTGGATTTCATCACAAGATCCCTCCACTCAACCAAGAGCCTGTGAAATAAGCATGTTGGCTTAAGTTTAAAGAGAGAGTCTATGCTATTTTGCATGTTCCATGATAAAAGTTCTAGCATTAGAATAATGGGCTATCAAGAATGCAAGAAGTTTAGTTAAATCGTTAGAAAGAAAATAAAGCAACCAAATAAGCTATTTTTTATAATAAGACAACAATTCATCAAGATGTTTTAATCTTTCCTTGATTTATACATCCTTAAAAAGTTATGAAACTTTTGCCCAAAGTTGGAAAATTTCTATAAGTATTAGAAATTTTTGGAGTGGGGTGGGAATAAGATATAGAGCATAATACTTTTATTTAAGTCTTGAAAATTATCATCCTTTATCACATATATTTTGAAATCATTATTATTATACCCAAACTTCATAAAATTGCTTTTGCTTATGTGCTGGCAATTTTTTTTTTTTTTTTTTCCTCTCATGCTGGTTTTATTTTTCAGCAGATTTAACTAAATATATTTGTTGGTTCTCTTTTTTATAGAGATCCTAAACTCTGTGATTTTAGTGGAAAATCAGCAGTTCATTATGTGTCACAAATAAAGAGTTTGAGGAAACAGCAGTTATTGGACATTCTAATGAAGTCTATGCCAAAGCCAGGTAAGTATTTCCACTCCATGTGCACAATTCCTAATGTATAAAAGCAGTATAAGAAAGCGTTCTTTTTATATGTAGAGGAATCCTGATCAAAAGGGAGAAATTGTGAAAAAGAATTTCAAATTCTCCTGAAATCCAGACTTTTGAGATCTGTGAATGAACCTCAAAGCTATTACCTCGAGATAATCCTCAATCCGTAAACCAAAAATTTCCCCTGAAGCCTCCTTAAAACCTGTTGTTGTTGTTATTTGCCATCAAGTGGGCCCTTTAGTTTAACTAGTAAAGAATGTCTGCCTTGAGCATTGTGCTCTTTTAAGATCTATTTGTATGGAATCAAATTAACAACCAACCAACCAAACAAAAAAAACCTCACTGCCCTTGGTCGATTTGACTCATAGCGACCCCTCCTTAGGTTTTTGAGTGGTATCTCTATGGAAGTAGATTGCCCAACCTTCTTTCTGAGGGGTGGTTGGTGGGTTTGAACCACCAGCCTTCTGGTTAGCAGTCAAATGCCTTAGGCACTACACCACCAGAGTTCTCAAAAGATTAGATAGGAATGTTAGGGGGACAGTGAGTTTATGTTAATGGAGAGGAACAACTGGGATAGGAGGGTGAAATTTTTTTCACAACTGGAAGAACGTAATCAATGTCACTGAATTATAAATGTCGAAATTGTTGAATTGTGTATTAGAGCTTAAATTCTAAAGCACTTTGTTTGTGGAAGGCTGCAGTCTACAATGGGAGCCCCAGTTCCATTTCGAGTTTTAACGTAAGTTCAGTCACCATTTGAGTTCTTTCTGATTATTAAACCAGCAATGTTGCTATGGGCAGACAAGTCTGGGACAAACCTAGGGAGGGGCAATTTGCCCTCAGGAAGTTGAAAGTAGATTATGTTCACACAAATCAAAACCAAACCAAACACACTGCTGTCAAGTCGGACCAGACTCACAGCGACCCCTTCTTGGGTTTTTGAGGTGGTATCACTACGGAAGTAGATTGCCCAACCTTCCTTCCGAAGAGTGGCTGATGGGTTTGAACTGCAAGCTTTCTGGTTAGCAGTCACATGCCTTAGGCACTAGGCCACCAGAGCTCCTATGTCCTTAATTGTTTGCCAAAAATAGATTAAATCAAGAAAAAGAATTAAAACAAACCCACTGCCATTGAGTTGATTCCGACTAGAACTGCTGCATAGGGTTTCCAAGGCTGTATAACAGAAAAAGACTGCCTCATTTTTCTCCCATGGAGCAGCTGGTGGGTTTGAACTGAAAAACTGCAGCAAAATGTGTTAACTACTATACCACAGTCTAGGAAACCCTATGGAATAGTTCTACTCTGTCCTATAGGGTCGCTATGAGTTGAAATCAACCTGACAGCAATGGAGTTTTTCATTTTTAATAATAGTTGTGCTTACCAACTAGCTTGCAAAATTCCCAAATATTTAACAATTGGCTCTCATGAAATAAATGCCTCCAGAGCATCACTGATAGACACCCTACTACGTTGGGTTCAGTGACCATGGTAAAAGTGTGGAATGTGCTGGGTTCTCCCAGCTCTTACCCTAGATTAATCAGAGCTGAGAAATGGCCTACACTATCCCTCTTCTACTCCCCACAGCACGGTGAGGCCCTGGCCACATGAGGTTACTGCATGGAGACCAAAAGTGTAAGGACAGCTCACTGTGCCTGGAAACCAGGGCTACAAAGCAGCAAGATGTGGTGCCACATGGAATATGCCCCTTAACAGAGTGACCCCACTAGGGGTGGTGCAAGTCAGGGTCTCAATGACCCAAGAATTATGTCAGTCATTTCTCCCATGGTGATGAGCACGTGAGAGGCTGATGACGGGACAGAACGTACACTCTGCTATCTGGGGAATTTAGCAGAAATTGCATGCTCTATGAAAATATGGGGTGGGGAGAATAAAGTTATAAAGTTGTCAGGAAATTCAAGATCATAAAATAAGGTGCAGCTTGGTTCCATATGAACTTAAATTGTTAATTGGAAAACATAAGAAACTAAGAAAGTGATTCTTTCCATTTCTCTCTGGGGTCACCTGATCTCTCACTTCTGCTTCTCTTCCACATAGCCCCAAAATATCTGCCTTAGCCATGGGGCCACATCATGTGCTCTCAGCAGTAGTAACTCACTTTTCCAATTCTAAATTCCCAAAGAGGAATCTGATTGGTAGAACCCACATTTTTGTGCTGGGACACAATCATAAGTCCTTAGCAAAGCTGTAGATTGGCTGCTTTGAGATAAGGTGACTCTGGCTTCAATCGCCTGTGACTTGTTGAATATATCATGTGATTTGCTGCCACTCACAGAATCTAGTGACAAGGATTTTTCCTAGGAGATTAATGGTTGTGTCAGGCAATGATTAACCAGTAACTCTACCAGCCCACTGCCATTGAGTCAATTCCAACTCATAGTGATGCACATTGGGTTTCCAAGGTGGTTAACCTTTGCAGAAGTGGATTGCTTCATCTTCCTTCCACGGAGCGGCTGGCGTGTTTGAACCACCAACCTTCTGGTTAGCAGTCAAATGCCTTAGGCACTGTTGATTCTGACTCCTGGCAACCCCGTGTGTGTCAGAGTAGAACTATGCACCACAGGATTTTCAATGCCTAATTTTTCTCCCCTGGAAATAGATCACCACCAGGCCTTTCTTCTGAGGTGCCTCTGTGTGGCCTTGAACCTCCACCTTTCAGTTAATAGTGGGACACATTAACTGTGTGTACCACCCAGGGACTAATTATTCTTTCTAACATGGGAAGGTTTCATGAAAGAGATGAGACTCAATCTGATCCTTGAAAAAGTATCAGATTTGATTTTGTGGAGCAGATGCACTGTGCTTTGAGGGAGCATGGCTTATAGGAGATTGGAACAGAAAGTTTATGTTAGAGAAAAGGAAAATATATGATTATCTACTAAAGAAACTGGGCCCACTGAGGGGAGAACCTTAAATATCAGGCTGATGGATGTAATTTTTTTTTCCCCAATAAAATAGACTCATTAAAGAATTTTAAGCCAGGAACTCAGGAAAGCTGTGATTTGGGAAGATTAACCAATTCTCATTGTGTTTGATGAATTTGAGGGAAGAGACTTATGGCAGGAAATTCTGTTAAGAAATATTGTTGTTGTTGTTGTTAGGTACTGTCGACTTGACTGACTCATAGCTACCCTATGGACAACACTGCTCAGTCCTGTGCCATTCTAAAAATCATTGCTGTGTTTGAGCCCATTGTTGCTGCCACTATGTCACTCCATCACTTTGAGGGTCTTCTTCTTTCACTAACTCTCTATTTTACTAAACATAATGTCCTCTGGGGACTGGTCCCTCCTCATAACATGTCCAAAGTACGTGAGATGAAGTCTCAACATCCTTACTTACTTCTAAAGAAAGTTCTGATTGTACTTTTTCAAAGACAAATGGGGACAAACTTAGGGGTCCTAATTCAGGGCATAAACACACTATCAAATATAATTAAAAATGCACACACACCAGAAGACAAAATAGATGACTGGGACCTCCTAAAAATTAGATATGTATGTGCATCAAAAGATTTCCCCAAAAGAGTAGAAAGAGAACCCACAGAATGGGGGAAAAAAATATCTGACAACAACATATCAGACAAGGTGCTAATCTCTAAATTTATAAAAAATTTCAACAGCTTAACTACAAAAAGACAAATAATCTAATTAAAAGATAGGAAGAGGACATGAACAGACAATTTACAAAAGAGGACATTCAGGCAGCTAAGAAACACATGAAGAAATGCTCACAAATATTAGCCATAAGAAAGATGCAAATCAAAACAACAATGAGACAAAATCTCACTCCAGCACTGACAGCAAAGTTCAGAAAAACAGAAAACAACAAATGCTGGCAAAGGTGTAGAGATGGGAACCTTTATACGCTACTGGTGGGACTGTAAAATGGTGCAACTACTGTGGAAAATGGTATGGTGCTTCCTTAAAAAGCTGGAAATAGAAATACCATATGATCTAGCAATCCTACTACTAGGTTTATATCCTAGAGAAATGGGAGCTGTGACATGAACAGATATATGCATATCCATGTTCATCACACCACTATTCACAATAGTGAAAAGATGGAAGCAACCTAAATGCCCATCAACAGAGGAATGGATAACAAACCATGGTACACTGGAATACAGTGGAATACTACACAATGTTAAAGAACTATGATGAATCTGTGAAACATAATGTGGATGGACTTAGAGGCCATTATGCTGAGTAAAATTAGTCAATCATACAAAGATAAATATTATATGGGACCACTACTTTAAAAAATTAAGAAAAAATTTTCACAAAAAAGAGAAATATTCTTGGATGGTTAGCAGGTGTGGGTGGGAAGAGAGGGTAAACCACATATGTTTAAAGAAAAGGAAAAAGAAGGAAGGAGTGGTACATCATCAATTTGGAAAAGAGTAGAAAGCAGATGTGCTAAGGAAATGAGAAATTTCAGTGGCAGGAGGGGGTTAGAAGATAGATTGCAGAAGTTAAAGGAAAATATGGTGAGAAAATGGAGGACTCAATTAGATTATGTATTCAGTTTTGTTTCAATTACAAAAACGATAAATGATAGAGCCATTGGAAGGGGAAGAAATTTTCATTGAAAAGTCCATGTTTACTCGGAAGTAGTCAAGACAACAGTAGAGAGATAAACATGTGCCTTAGGAACTAATTGGAAGTCACTATTTGGTGTTCAGAACTCTGTCCATTTTTTATGACTTCAAGTATTAAATGAGAAAAGCAAATGTGCTTGGAGTAGCTGAGCACTTTTATCCTTCAAAACTATAGAGGAAATGTAATTTTTAAAACAATTGATAGTTGTTTTGGTTCCAATAAGATGGTGGAATAGGCAGAAAGACTGCACAGGCCCTCTTCAACAAAGAAAAGGGGAACCAACTAACACAGACACAGAAGATAATCCTGGACTCCTGAGCCTTTAAGGGAAGGATATAGAAGGATATAGAAGTA